CTTGTAGCTTCCCTCGTCGTGTTCTATTCATCTTGTTATCTGCAGTTCTCTTCATCTCGTTTTTTTTCATTTTGTCTCCATTCCTAGGGTTTATCTTTATTCTTCGTCTCCAAAGTCTAAAATGTTAAGCAGTTCTTCAATTGGTACATATGGGTCGGTTGTTTGAAGAACAAAAGGAGGGAGTGCTTTTGCCAAGATGAATGTGTGCTTCGTACCGTGGGTGATATAAGTAGTGTCAATTTTGGAAAAAAGTGCTAGGGTTTCATAAATTTCAGAAATCATGTGAAATAAGGGATGTAATTTCATCAAATGGTTTGATGACGCCATTATCGATGAAAGGGATTTGAAGATCCATAGGAAGAAGAAGAAAATTTATAAGTCGAAGAATGAGATCATCAACATAATGGGATGGTTGAAATTGTCTATAATCATTGGAATATTGAGCTTATTGTTTAATGTTATATTTATAACAATAGTTTTTTAGGTTGGTTATTTTTGTGTAATGACATGTAGTTGTGAACAAGAAGGTTGAATTGTATCTGTGAACTGTTTTGTCAACATTGTTATGTATTTGTCAAAATATATCAATGAAATGTAGTTGCTTTTGTTTGAGAAATATTACTTTTGTTTCTGTCAAAATTTATCAATGAATTGTATCTGTGAAATGTTACTTTTATTTGTTTCCCGCAATTAAAAGAACAAGTGCAAAGTATAAAATGTTCATAACAATAGTCACAAAACCATAACATTAGTTATAGAATTAACATTACAAGTCATGACAAAAGTGGCATTGCAAGCCATTAGACATAACTAGAGTATATGCATTTTATGCCATTTGTTATAGCAGTTGAAATCCAACAAAAGTGGCATTATAAGCCTTAGTCTTAAACTATATAATAGGAAAAAAGTGGAATAACTAGTATGCAGCAAACATAAACATAAGGTTATGGTTGGCTCAGAACAGGTTTTAGACCCTTTTGAAGTCTCTTTCTTTTTTTGGATACTTGCCGAGTTGAACCTCCATTTGGTGTTGGCTGGATTGACGTAGAAACAACTGGTGTTGATGGTAGGCTTGATGCAACAACAACTGGTGTTGGTGGTTGGGATGATGTAACAACAACAATTGGTGGTCTTGTTGATGTAGCAGCAGCAGTTGGTGGTCTTGTTGATGTATCAACAACAATTGGTGGTGGTGTTGTTGTAGTAGTAGCAATTGGTTGTGGTGTTGTTGTAGTAGCAGTAGTTGTTGGTGGTGTTAATGTAGCAACAACATTTGGTGTTGGTGTTGTTGTAGTAGTAGTAGTTGGTGGTGGTGCTGTTATAGCAGCGACATTTGGTGTTGTTGTTGTTGTTGTAGGCAGCTTGCAAGTGGACTTATTGTGGCCATCTTTATGGCACCTGCTACACTTGATACCAAATTTGGCCCTTTTGAGTTGTGTATCATTTCTAACTTGTTCCCCAACATCTTTGTTCCTTTTCTTATTGGGTCTACCAGGCTGTCTTTTTATGGGGGGTGGTTGCAGGTCAACAACATCTGTTTTGGTCCAAAGTGATTCTCTATTGACTCGATAAATCACTGGTGCATAGCAAGCTTCATAACACTCATTTTTTGTAATTATATGGAACAAAATCATCTAATTGTAAATGCTGATCCTTCATACATACAAGGGCATGACAACATGGTATCCCAGTCAACATCCACCTTCCGCATGAACATTCATGCTTTGATAGATTAATAACAAACTTTTCTTCAATGAGTGATATGTGCCTAACCTCATAGTCTACTTCACCTGCACGCTTGTTACAAATACAGAAATCAGTTACAGATGTAAACTACTTATTTGTATTACCTAGAAAATCATGTATGGACATTACCTCACAATCCAACTATTAGTCCTTTGTGATTCTTTTTCCAACTTATTTCTAATATTTGGCAGAATGGTATTAGCATATTTAGAAATATTTTGTCTGTCATACTCTCACCTTTGCATTAGGTACACTCTAATCTCCTCAAGCATACACGATGGACTTGGCCCTTGCAGCTACAAAAACAGAGTTAAAGGCTTTTGACATGTTGTTCACCAAAGTGTCACACTTTGGATCATTTCTAAACCTAGATTTGCTCATGAACCTAGGTAGGATCTTCCAAAGGTGCTTGAATGCTTCTTCATTCACCTCTTTCATTTCACACATAATTCTTTACCAAGCATTTGAATGACTAGCATTGGCAGATTTTCACATCCTTTAATTTGACACCAGGAAACTTCTTCTTGAAATTGCTATATAAGTGCCCGCCAATAACACAATGGAAACATCCACATTAGAAACTACCATAACCATCATCAGAAATATAAGGCTCATAATCATCATCAATACATTGCTATATAACACAATATAATGATGTTTACCTAACACAAAACCTTTGGTCAACTTCTGGTAGCAACTCATCAAGGGTAGGTAATAACCCTTGTACTTTAGTCATACCAGATCAGTTTTAAAGATAACAAAAACAAATTATGTCAAAAACATAGTCAGCTATAAAGTTATTAGTACACTTTTGTTTTGTTTTCTCCATTATATCACTCAACTTCAAATTAGGATTCTCTCTTACATTACTTTGAATTTTTCCTCCAACCATTTGGAATTTAGGAACATCACCTTATAGTCCCTACTACATGTATGCTTGTCCACAATCTTTCTCAACTACCAAGTATTATTATCTTGTAATTTTGCACAGTATGACTCTTATGGACAACCTTTCTTACATATGACTCTCATCCTCTTATTATCATTTTTCTTAAATTGTAGGTTTCTACCAAAATGGATAGCATAAGTTTTAATTCTCTCTTTAAAGTCTTGCTTAGAAGCAAAATAAGTCCCTAATTCCTACTTGTAATCATCCATTCTTTTTGGAAGTTTGAAAGTAGGAAAGTCATCTTTTAGAATCTCATCATCTTCACTATGATAGTCATATGGTAACTCATCAGTGTCATACTCCTCAATGTCACTCAAACCTCTAAAGCTTTATTTTGTAGCCTCACATTCATTGAAATCATCAACTACACCACTACCCTCAACTCATTCTTCCACAAGTTTTTATTTCTTTGGTCTCCCCTTACCCTTACCTTTTCCTTTCCCCTTACCCTTACCTTTTGCTTTCACCTTACCCTTACTTTTGCCCTTCCCATTTCCTTTTCTTTCATCTATATCAATAACAATTTCTTCAACAATTCCAATTGAATAATCACTATAATGCCCAAAGATCTCTTTCAACACACTATCATCTTCACTATCCCCACAATCTTTTTGATACATTTAAGCCCCTCGGTTTTTTGGTTACATTCTGCTCCCTGATGTACCTCTTGGTTACAAACCAGTCCCTCAGATACAGGTTCAGTTTGAACACTCACCAAGTAGGGTGTGTCATCCAATACATCATCTTCTTGGTCACATACCATATGTCCAGTGGTCCCATCTAAAGTAATATCCACTATGGCATCCTCAGACACAATGTCTCCCTCAAAGTTAACATCTTGACATGACTCTTTTTGGTTACTGCCCTCAGTGGTCCCATCCATATTAACATTCTCAAATGAAGCTTCTTGGTCAAATCCAGCTGAATCTTCAAATCCTGTGGACCCTCCTTCTTAAAAGTTGTCACCTATATTATTCAAATCTTTAATGGTCCCCAAGTCATCAAAAGTTCATTTTACACCATTATTCAATTCATCTAACATGTCATCTTCCCAACTGTCATCTTCTACAACATTTGGACCTACATTATTTTCAACATTTGAACCTACGTTGTTTTCAACATTTGGATCTACATTATTCTCAAGAGGCAATATTTGCTCTTCCCCACACACTGGATGCATTACATAGAGATGAACATTCCTATTGATCAAAGCAATGGTCTTCATTCTATTTGTTCTTGCGTCATCTTGCAACATCACTAACTCATTATCATCCATTGCATCATAATACCAGAAGCTCTCAACTTTTGGATACCCTAAATCTTTCACCCCACCTAGAATCTCAAAATGACTCCGAAAATCCGGGTCAACGTGTTAAATCTTTTATAAACCATTGTAACCATATTTGTTAAACTCACCAAGCCCACCCCCATGATGGATAACACACTCAAACCTATCACCACTCATCACCTAGTCACACATGATACATCAGAAATCACACATCACAGTAAAAGAAATTGTAAATACAATTTTTTTTTAAATGATGAGTTCATACATGTACCTCTTTAAGATGCTCGACTCTCTACGTATCTTCTTCTGCTATCGTCTTCGTAAACTACCGTCGCTTTCAACCACGACCGTCTTGTTCTTCGCAATTGTTAGGTTTTTTTAAGAACGAATAAGCAACAATGAATTTCTGAGAGTAGCTGAATAGTTTAGGATAATAGTTACTAAAAAAGAAAACAAAGGTCTCTTATTGACACATCAGAAAGAAAATAGGGTGAAAAAAATAAAAACAATGCCACATAGACACGTTTTAACGTTTTTTCAAAGAAACTAACAGAAGAGATTTATTGTGCTAACGGAGTGTCCTGAAAGGACTACATTAGACCGTTTTTTTAATTGTGGAACTAATTATAAACAACAAAATAACTTAAGGGACTAAAAGATGAATTAAACCTAAAATATTTCTTAACTATTTTCTTATTCAATTATATAGTTTTTTTTTTAAATTAATAATTAAAAAAAATCACATTCTTTTAATTATTTTTTATTACTTAAGTCATTAAACATTTAAGTTTACAAAAATAATAATATTTAATTATTAAATAAAAATAACATTAATAGACAAATTATGAGCTAGAAAATCCAAAAAGACTATAAACAAAAAAGTTATGCTAAGTCATTAAATTGTCCAACGGCTAGCAAACCCAAAACGTGATTCAAATTGAAGCATCACCACTTTCTGAGAGCTCCATTCCCAATAATCATTCATTTTCCAAACTCATTCACTGCTTTTCACACCTCATGGATTCATCTACACCACCGCCAACTTCATCACTTCCAATCATCTCCGATCAACCGATCCAACTTCCTCTTCCTCTCAGCACCAACCAATCCCCATCTCCTTCGCCGTCTCCGTCACCGTCGCCTTCCCCTCTCAGAAGAAGATCCAAAACCTGCCTCGCCGACCGCCTCGAAATTGCCGCCGATGAGTCTCCTGAACCTGCCGGAGTACGGCGACGTGGAAAAGCCAGAGCCGCTCAAAACAACGCTCGAAAACCAAGAAAACAACGTCCTGATGTTGAGAATCGAGAAGAGAGTAATGATGGTGTTGGTTTGGTTGAAGAAATCGGAAAACCTAGAAAAAGGAAAAATGGCGGTCGACCGAAGAAAGAGAAACCTATCTTGGTTCAATCTTCAACCTCATCTCCAAGTATGTATATCACTATATGCATATTTGTAATTACGTAACTTTGTTTTCGTTTTTGATTCAATCAATACCCTAATAGTTTTTTCTTTCAATTTTGTGATTTTGTTTTTGTGTAGAAACTGAAGAAGAAAATTTGGTTGATTTCAATCGTATTGGACAGGTTGTGAGTGATTTGGTTATGTGGAAAGATGTATCAAAATCAACCTTTTGGTTTGGACTTGGCTCTCTTTGTATCTTATCTTCATGCTTCTCTCAAGGTCTCAATTTTAGGTATTGCAATTCTTTCGAAGAGAGTGATGATTTATGATTAATTTGATAGATTGAGAATAGTTTAGAGGATATTCAGACCAAATAGGATAAACCAAGGTTTTAAAAAACTTGGTTGCCGCCGCGAAAAACGGTATTGGAAGGTGTCAATACCAACATTGTTATTAACCCATTTTTATGATAAAGAATAATTTGTGATTAATTAACACCACGACAACCGCAATTATGGTTACGACACCATTACCGACCGAATTTGCGAAAGCTTTTACGTGATCACGATCGTAATTTAAAGCCTCGGGAGAGTGTGTTAGTTTAAGAACTAATTTGAAAGGCTTACACTTTTTTAATCTTTTACTCTTTAATTTAAGAAGTATCTAAGGTGTTCCTACTTGATATTTCAGCATTGTCTCGGCCTTGTCGCAATTGGCTATTCTCATTTTGGGTGTTTCATTTTTCTCAAATGCCATTTACCAAAGGTACTCTATTTTTTTGTTCTAATGGATGGTGTTGTAGTGTAAGTATTCTTCAAACTATATCTTTTATTGATTGTTGTTATTCTATGATTTTCGGTTTGTATTACAGCGAAACTGTTTATGAGAAGTGTTATGCCAAGCTTAAAGAAGATGATGTTTTGCGTCTTGCAAAATTGATTATTCCTGCTTTAAATTTTGTGATTTCAAAGACTAGAGTGCTATTCTCAGGAGAACCATCAATGACTCTTAAAGTAATCCACGATTCTTAATTTTATTTTGTCTACTAAGAACCATAATAATTGCTTAATTTATGAACTACTGTTTTCTTTTCTTGTTGCAGGTAATTCCTTTCCTTCTATTAGGAGCTGAGTTTGGCCACTTAATAACAATCAGGAGGCTATGTGCCATTGGTTTGGACACCATGAACTCTTCTATCATCTATATGAACCTTTTCTTTGAAATTCAGTTCTGTCTTAGTTAAAATGCTAATACATTTATACATACAGGTTTTTTTGTCAGCTTCACTATCCCAAAACTTTATTCATGCTACACTAGTCAGATAAACAAGAGAGGTATGTATAACTTCATGTGTAATATGCATATGAAGAAATCCGCTTTTTTGTGCTTAGTAGTTGAAAGGTTGTGTTATATTCATTTGCAGCCGAGTGTTTGAAATCATCACTATCGGAAACATGGTGTGCTTGCACTCACAAGAAGAAAGTGATGGCGTCGACACTCTTGACATTCTGGAATCTATCTTCTACCAAAACTCGGATCTTTACCGGTAACACTTACATAAGCAATTATAACATAATAAGTTCTTTCAAATTCTACGCCAGTTCTCTTTAGGCGCAATGTTGCAACACAGGGGTTACTGCCACTATGAATCTTAAAAATCAATGTAGTATTTAGTTTTAGACAGCTAAATTTGCATATTTCCAGAACCTTTGTGATAGCTGTTTTTTTCTACTTGCAGCTTTTATGTTGCTGGTACTATTTAGATACGTAAAGCAACATGTGGTGCAGCAACTACAAGATGGAGAAGCACAAGTAGGTGAGAAGGAACAGCAGAAGAAGCAGAAGAAAGAATCGGTGGTGGAAACACAAGTAGGTGAGAAGGAACAGCAGAAGAAACAGAAGAAAGAATCAACGGTGGTGGAAATAGAAGAAAAGGAAACTCAACTAGCATTAGTTATACATAACTCAGATTCAAAAAATAAGGACAATTAATGTGGTTGGTGGAGAAAATATTGTTAGTATGAGAATTCATCTTGCAAATGTAACATGTATATTTCTAATGTTGATTAGTCACTGCTAAACAATGTTAGATAGAAAAGAAAAGTGAAATAATAGTTACTAGAGACTCTTGTTTACAAGTATTTCAAAAGAAATTATCATATGAGAAAATGGATTTTTGAAAACATTTTTGTATGCATATTAATTACATATGACTTTATAGTAATTAATATGTGAAATAAGTACTCCTTTTGAAAAAAAAATTATTACTTCATGAAAAAAAATGAAAAAAAATTCGGATGATTTTATAGTAATGCTCTTTATCATTACAAAGAAGAAGAGAGAAATTAAAAGAGATGAAAGAATAAATAATGATAAATATTTGAGTATATATTGAGAAAATGTCATTAATATTGTAATATAAATGTAAGGTGATTTATAATTTAGTATAAATGATTTTTAGCAAAGTGACTTATTTATTAGTTGAGTTAGCTCTAAAGTTGTTTTTAATATAAATCGGGTCCTCAGTACGCAGGAATCCTTGAGTCGGGAAGAATTCTCTCAAGGGATTTTTGACAGGTTGGGTTGGATTGAAACCCATAACCTCTGGTTATAATTGGATAGCTCTATAAGTTTTTAGTTTTTAAATAATCGTTATTTGCTATTTTGCTTTCGTGAAAATTTTACAATCAAAATATTTATTGTTATATTTATAATAGTTATCCAGAAACATTAAAAATAATTTTTAGCATTTATTGTTAATTTAAATTAAGAATTTTTATGTGTAATTTTGCATAATTTTATATATGAGGAGTTTACGAAAAGATCTCTCTATTTTTGTATTAATTCTATAAAATAATTTTATATTATTATTTTATAAAGATTTATCATTTAATTAAATATTTTTTTATGTCATGCCATTGGTTATATATACTAGTATCATTAGTGGGATATTATAGAATTATTTTACATTAATATATATATATATATTATTGTTAATAAAATAACACCAACGAGATGATGATGTTGATAATTTGACAATATAATTATTTTTATACTGACAAAATATAGTAATTAAACTTTTTTAGATTTAATTGAAATAGGTTGAAAATATAAAAGAATTTTATATTATCAGTTAATCATAATCGTTGATGTTAAAAAAAATTTAATTTTTATTTTAATTATTAATAAAGTAATATTAACGGATGATGGTGATGATCTGATAGTGTAAAACTTTTTACACTGACAGCGTATAATAATTAATTTTTTTTAGATTTAATTAAAATGCATTGATAATGTAAAAGAATTGTACACTATAAATTAATTATAACGGTTGAATGTTAAAAAAAAATTAATTTAATTTTAATTATTAATAAAATAACATTAACAGCTAATAATAATGATAATGTAAAATTTTTTACGCTGACGGTGTATAATAATTAATTTTTTTTTATTCAAATCTAAAATTTTGACAAAATTGATACCCAAATCCCTCTTCCTCAATTTAAAATGTATCTTCGAAATTTAAAAAATTTAAATAATATAATAAAATTCTTTTTCCTCTCCGAACATTTTAGAAGCACTTAGAAATTTAGAAAAGTTTCTTTGAACTCTGCATGTTTATAATTAAGGATTCGCAATTGTCGTCTTTTTCCTCTGCCAATCATTATATTCACATGAAATTTTACTGATAAATGATTATCAAATTATCAACACCATATATCATTTTTGTTTAAATGCAAATATAATATTACTCTTAAATCTTTTTTATTGTATTTTTTCAAACATTTTTGTCATATCAGAAACTTTGTATTAGTATAATTCAGATTATAGAATAGGAATACATTTCAAAGTTTGATTCCTAAAACCTAAACTTGCAATATTTATTTAAAAGTAATTATAATTTTAAATCTTTATTAGAATTAAAATATAAATTTGTAAATATTTTTAAAATATTTAAAACAAGTTAAATATTTGTATTTAATTCCCATTCGCTAATAAGAGTTAAAATATTTTTTGAATTAATGATTTAGTTGTATGTGTGTATATTTCGAATATTATAAATAAGTTTATAATTGAATTAAAATATTTAATTTATTTCTCTTCGTTGTCATGTTTTTGTTGATTTTTAATTGATAATAATGGTGCATAAAATACTATTTAGGTTTAATATACTTTTTATTTTTGTAAGTTAGGGTCACAATTGATTTTAACTTAACCATTTCCAGGGAGAACTGCAACTACTTGACTCGTTTTATTACTCATCATGCAAATTAAAGCAAGTAGGAACATATGCTAGAAATAACATATAACTAATCTCTAGTAGTAATAAACCCCTCTTACTAACAAATTCGTAATCAGAACTTCACAAACTCGATTTTGGACCTTGTTTCAATTATAAAAAAAAAACTTTTAATAGTGTTTCATATTTTAGTTTTAAAAAAAATTATTATTATTATTTTTTAAATTTCAAACCACAAATTGATCATTTCATGCAATGTTGTAACCACAAATTTCGAATTTTTTTTTAAAGTAGCAATGTTATAATTTTTATTTACCAAACAAAGTAATGTTTCAATTAATTTACGAAAATTGAAAAGTGGAAACAGACATTCGCCAGGTCAATTGGCGAATTAGGCCAAATCCCATTCCAACAAATTCGCCAGACCAATTGGCGAATTAGCCAAACCATCTACAAAGTCGCCACATCATTTGGCGAATTAGTATAAGTTAGGGTTTGCAACTGATTTTTGTTTTTTTTTTCTTTTTATATTATGATTTCATATTTTTAAAGTTTAAAAATTTATTTGTTTTTAATTATTATTATTACTAATTTAAGTTTAATATATTAATTTATAATATAATTAATTTATAATATAATTAATTTATAATATAAGTTTAATTTTAATTTAAGTTTTATTTTTAAAGTTTAATTTTAATTTTAACTTTAATATAAGTTATAATTTTAATTTAAGTTTTAAAATATAAAATATTTTGATTATTATTTTGATTATTATTTATATTATTAATAAACTTATTTTTAAATTATAAATTAATTTTTGAATTTATAAATTATAAATATTATTTTTAAACTTATTTATATTTTTATTATAAATTAACTTTCAACATAACAACAAAGTAAAGACATAAAACAAAACACTGGAACAGAGCGTCTACGATATCACGACCATCAACTTTATCTCCTTTGGCGTCAACATCATCACGAGGACGCCGACATCATTTTCCTCCGTTTCTATCGGTCTTCTCCACCAACCTCTCAATTTTCCTAATCTTTTCTCCAGAGGAGCACCTTCATCGGAGGCTTAGCAAGGTGAAAGACGCATTTGGTGACAAAGTGATTACCACTAGGGTGGGTATACATTCATTGATAAAAGTCACCCCATAAATATATATGGGAAGTTTAAAAACCAGGCTTGGCAAAATTTTAAAAATTAATATAAATAATAAATTTATAAATTCAAAATAATAATCAAAATAATAAAAATATAATAAGTTTAAAAATAATATTTATAATTTATAAATTCAAAAATTAATTTATAATTTAAAAATAAGTTTATTAATAATATAAATAATAATCAAAATAATAATCAAAATATTTTATATTTTAAAACTTAAATTAAAATTATAACTTATATTAAAGTTAAAATTAAAATTAAACTTTAAAAATAAAACTTAAATTAAAATTAAACTTATATTATAAATTAATTATATTATAAATTAATTATATTATAAATTAATTATATTATAAATTAATATATTAAACTTAAATTAGTAATAATAATAATTAAAAACAAATAAATTTTTAAACTTTAAAAATATGAAATGGGATTTTTAAATTTTTAAACTTTAAATATTTATAAATTTTTAAACTTTAAAAAACAAAAATCAGTTGCAAACCCTAACTTATACTAATTCGCCAAATGATGTGGCGACTTTGTGGATGGTTTGGCTAATTCGCCAATTGGTCTGGCGAATTTGTTGAAATGGGATTTGGCCTAATTCGCCAATTGACCTGGCGAATCTGTTTCCACTTTTCAATTTTCGTAAATTAATTGAAACATTACTTTGTTTGGTAAATAAAAATTATAACATTGCTACTTTAAAAAAAAATTCAACAAATTCGTAATCAGAACTTCACAAACTCGATTTTGGACCTTGTTTCAATTATAAAAAAAAAACTTTTAATAGTGTTTCATATTTTAGTTTTAAAAAAAATTATTATTATTATTTTTTAAATTTCAAACCACAAATTGATTATTTCATGCAATGTTGTAGCTACTAAATCATTTTATTTTACACACACATATATATATATATATATATATATATATATATATATATATATATATATATATATATATATATATATATATATATATATATATATATATATATATATATATATATATATATATATATATATATATATATATATATATATATATATATATATATATATATATATATATATATATATATATATATATATATATATATATATATATATTCAAACCACAAATTGATCATTTCATGCAATGTTGTAGCTACTAAATCATTTTATACATATATATATATATATATATATATATATATATATATATATATATATATATATATATATATATATATATATATATATATATATATATATATATATATATATATATATATATATATATATATATATATATATATATATATATATATATATATATATATATATATATATATATTCAAACCACAAATTGATCATTTCATGCAATGTTGTAGCTACTAAATCATTTTATATATATATATATATATATATATATATATATATATATATATATATATATATATATATATATATATATATATATATATATATATATATATATATATATATATATATATATATATATATATATATATATTCAAACCACAAATTGATCATTTCATGCAATGTTGTAGCTACTAAATCATTTTATTTCACA